TCTTAATAGCGTCTTTAAATAGAGTCAAGATTGGAGTCAGCTTCATGGATGGAGCCTTTTTCAGTGTTAGAAGTGATTGCACAGCTTCTTAATACAGTGTCCTTCTGGAAAAGTGAGGCTAGATAGAGGTTGTCTTTGTTTTGGTGCTGTTGAGTGGCCACTGGAGTGCAATGCTTGTTTTGCACGTCCTCAAAGGAGGGGCAGTCAGAACTGGAGGGATGAGGACACATCCTCCCTAAGCCTCTCCCCCCAGGTCCCCTGGTGCCTCCAAGAAGCCAGAAACCTCTTCTCCCTGGTCCAACCTCATTCCCCTCTACCTCCTTTCCTGGATGTCTCTTCCAAGGAGCCCCTTAGCCTGTCTCTGAGCAGATGGTTTCCATCCAGAGTGCCAGTCTCACCCTCTTTCCAGAGATCTGGGATCACCTCTTCCTCCTCCTCCTCCTCCTCCTCCTCCTCCTCCTCCTTCTTCTTCTTCTTCTTCTTCTTCTTCTTCTTCTTCTTCTTCTTCTTTCTTCTTCTTCTTCTTTTTGCTAACATTATTAAGTTTTGGTCTTTTCAAAAGTAGTAGTACGTGTTAATGGCATACATTTTAGAAAGTAGCAACAAGCACCAGAAAGGAAAGAATTAACGGTTTACAATCCGACACCCTGTCATAATTGCCACCAATTCTGGTGACATCCTTGAGACTCCCCTCTTAACACAGGCATGAAAATATTTTAATTTTAAAAATATGATCATGCGGGGCAGCCCGGGTGGCCCATCAGTTTAGCACCGCCTTGGGCCCAGGGTGTGATCCTGGAGACCGGGGATCGAATCCCGCATGGAGCTCCCTGCATGGAGCCTGCTTCTCCCTCTCCCTGTGTCTCTGCCTCTGTCTCTCTCTCTCTCTGTCTCTCATAAATAAATAAATAAATAAATAAATAAATAAATAAATAAATAAAAAAATCTAAAAAAAATGTGATCATGCTGTCTATTCTTCTCCCACTTTTTCTCCTCAACCCACAGTTTATTGTGATCATATTTTTTTTAATTAAACACTCTGCCACGACATTATAAGTGGTTATATAGCATTCTGTTGCATGGATGTACCCTAGTTTACCTAATCAATTTTGTTTCGTGGAACCTCTAGTTTGACTCCTATTTTTACATTGTCTGCCATGATTCTTTCCTCAGGATGAATTCTAAAAAAAGTAATTACTGGGTTTAAAGATTTGTGCTTTTAAAGACTTTTAATGCATTTTTATCAAACTGCCTTCCAGAAAAAATCCTTGTTAGAACTATATACAAGTACCTCTTTTTCTGTAACCCTTACAAATGCAGTGTGTTCATAGTTGTGGGAGGAGTCAGGCTTATTTGGTAATTAAAAATAATAATTTTTGTTATAATTTGAAGCTATCTGGTTTCCAGAGGCCAAATATTTTTGCCACACATTCATTTGCCATTTGTGTTTATTTTCATGTGAATTGACCATAAGATCCTTTGTCCAATGCTAAGTGGGGGATGCTTGCTTTCCTCTCATTGATTTATATGAGCTTTCTGCATATTAAAGATATTCACTTTTATCCATCTATGTTAGAAATGTACTTCTCAGTTTATCATTTGCCTTTCAATTCTATTTATGTTATTTGTTGACTGAGATTGCACTACTTTCTGCTTGCTAGACATCTTTTCTTATATGACTCAGTGATATTTCAAACTTCACAAATCCAAGTGGAAATTCATTATTCCCTCCTCTCACCCCACCTGCTCATCCTGCTGACTTGCTTATTCCTATTAATATCAGCACAGTTTTCCTGGTCATCCAGGCTTAAAGTGTTGAGGTCATCTTGGGTTCCAATCTTTCTCTTTTCCCCTATATCCTGTTAGTTGCCAACCCGTAGGCAATCTCTATGGAGATTTGATTTCTACAGTTTCTCTGGCAGGTGGGCCACAATGTAGTTCTGTAATTCTCTGACAGGAGAATGGTAGTTCCTGTTCTCTATTTCTTGACTGGACCTTGGAAATGGCCTCATAAGTTCATATCTTGTTTCCCCAACCCCAGTCCCTTGACTTGTCATTTCTCCTCCTTGCCCCTCCTGCACATCACCACCACATTAATCTTCCTAAAACAGAGCTCAAGCATGGGACTCTGGTTACAAACCACCAACAGCTCCCCATTGTCTTGTATGTAATTACAACCTTTTAGCCTGGTCTTAATTTCCATTCAGTGGAATCTCCCACTATCTGGGGCAAGTTACTCCTCAAACAAGCTCACAGCTTTCCTGCCCCTTTACCTTGTTGCTCCAGCCATCCCCTCCTAGAATTCCCTCCCACCATTTCCACCTACTAAAAATCAATTCAGAAAGCTCCCCACCTACCCCACTGCCAGCTGTCTCAAACTTTTCTGACTCTTTAAAGGGCTTTCTCTTTGAAACCTCCAAAACAATTTGCTTGAGCTTCTCTTGTAAAACAAATCCTATTCCATAATCCAAGTAGAGACTTTTAAGGTTTACATTCCTACCAGTAAGGAAAGTCCTTTGAGGGCACTCTTCTATGTCTCCATTCTTCCACAGAACCTGCACAGTGCCTTGCCACAGTTGATGTTCAGTAGATATTGATGGAATGAAAAGCAACACCCTAGGAAGCTGAACACCTGGACATCATGGGCCACAGCCATTTCGCACCCTACTCCCAGCCTCCTGGGACAGGACACACTTAATTAGCTAATGGGCAGAGTGTTAGTCCCCTCTGCAAGAGGCTAAGCCAGACTAACAGCCTTTGGGACCAGGGACTGGGCCACAGTCACCTCTTTGTCTTCATGGTTTGACTTGCGGTTATTGAGGTGAATGGCCCCCTAAATCCACTTATCCCTTTGCCTCATGATTGCAATGCATGGTACATGGTAGATACTTTGTAAGTTGGCAGTTGAGAAAAGGATCTCAGGGACCTTGTAAGAAAGAAACCTTGGAATCAGATTGAATGGCAGCTAAGGGGTGCAGGAGGCTTCTGTGACCCTGACTATGCATGCTGCCTGACTTTTTCTCCCTCTAATATATTTGAATAGAGTCAAGATTGGGGTCAGCTTTATGCATGGAGCCTTCTTTAGCTTTAGAGGTGACTCTGCAGCCAGCATGGGAGTATGCAATTGACACAGTCTATTTTTAGCCTCCCAGAGACCGTGACCAACATCCCAAGCTGAGGGTGGGCACACCTGCTGCATTCTAATAAGGCAGCCCCAATTGCCTCTGCCAGCCAGCCAGGATCTCGCCGACCTTAAATCTGATGTTGCTAAACTGGGAAGCCTGCTTATTTCCCAGAGGCTGTAGCCTAGATACACCAGGAAAATGGGACCATCACACTCTCCTGAGCTCCGTCCCCTCTAGCCCAGGACACAGGGCAGTCTGGGGGCTGTACACACAGCACAATGGAGAGATGGAATCGCTTGGGGTTCTCGATCTTGCTCTGTCCTAGGGCTTCCCTATTTGCCTTGTTGGGAAGGAGGTTAATAAGTCTGAGCTGATTCAGCTTACAAAAGAGAAAATAGAGGCATGAAACAGAGACATGTTTATGTAATTGGAATAATCATGATAATGGTAATAATAATATTAGGGCTTACTATTGCCAGGTGCTGTTCTAAATGCTTCACATATATGGACTCACCCAAACTTCTTGACTGCTCTCTCAGAGAGGTTTGATTATGAAGTCTATTTTATGGAGGGGGGAGACTGAGACACATGATGAGAAATGATTTCTGAAGGTCATTTGTCAGCGACTAAGTAGCAGGGTTGTGTTTCAAAGCCAGGCAGTGTGGCCTCAGGATTTACACTTTACACCATAACACCTGCCTTTCAATATCTATTTCTAATTTTACTAGAGGCAGATGGATCCAGGAGTCCTGAAGGACTGGATAATACTGCTTCTCTATATTTTAAATTTCTTCCCTGCTTTGAGGCTTCTACTGTGCTGTGCACACCTGGATTCCTACGCTCTGGGGAAAGAAATTTCTTCTCCTGGGATGACTACATGTCTGCAGTCAAGCCAAACTTTTTGGGCCACAAAACTCTCTGAACTTCCTCTCCTTCTCCCTCCTCCTTTAGCCTGTGAAGGAGGAGGGGCTGTCCAGTGACGGGCAGCAGTAGTGGGGTGTAGAGAGGGGCAGGATTAGGAACTCAGAAAGAGCAGTGCTTGATCAGGTACAGGCAGGAGGCCACACCATCAGCGTGAGTATTCAAAGTTCAGAGTAAACTTCTGCCTAAGTTCCGAGTACAGTTCACAGAAATCAGTAGGGAAGACAACAGGTATGAGGCCCCAGAACCTAAGAGGCCTACATTTTGGGGCATAAGTGCTGCCTGCTAGAGAGAAGCCCAGGGACTCAATCTTCCTAAGGGTACAGGTGGGATTCAATTTAACAAATACCTATTATGTGCTAGGCCCTTTTTTAAGCACTTCACAAACCAACTATCTGATCCTCAGGATGACTCTAGGATGTTGGAATCATTTTATTCCCATTTGAGGGATGGTGAAAGCAAGGCACTGAGTGGTTAATAATTTTGCCCAAGGTTGGTTGCATAGCTCCTAAGTGGCAGAGCTCGGGTTCCAGTTTTGGCAGACTGGCTCTGGAATCTATACTCCAGCCACCATGCTATGTGATGCTATACATCTCTTCCTTTTCTATAGTGAATAGTGTTCACTATTTGCCTATAAGTTCACTATTTACCTATTGTCTTCATTTAACAGATATGGAAACTGAGGCCTAGACTGGGTCAGATCACCTGACTAGTAAGTGATAGAATTGGGTTAAATTGAGGTCTTTTTGGCTTCTCAGTAGCATGACACCTCTCCACAAATCAGTCATCAGTTGGCATGCCAAAAAGCTGGAAGAGTCCATCTGCCCCTTAGGAGTGACTGTAGTGGCCGACTGGAGCCTCAGGGCTCGGGGAAGGGAAGGAAGAAGGGGCATCATCTCAGAGGGCAGGACCTTGTTGCAGCTGTTGACACTAGGTCCCTTCTCTTCCCCTCAGGTGAGCAGTTCCCCCCCGCAACCCCCTCAACCCGTCGTCCCACCCAAGCCTGTGCAATGTGTCCATCATGTGTCCACTCAACCCAGCTGCCCAGGACGGGGTAAGATGTCCAAGCTGCTGAACCCAGAGGAGATGACCTCGAGAGATTATTACTTCGACTCCTATGCCCACTTTGGGATCCATGAGGTAAACCATGTTGAGCTTGGCCCTGCTGTTTCACCGCTGTTTTCTGAGGCAGCATAATGTGTTCAACTGTCTACTGTCATAAAGTGGGGTTTCCCAGTGGTCCAAGGCCCCTGGCCCTCCCTGCCTTCTGTGAGTCTCTCTGGGAGAGGGTCAGGGCCAGGCTCACAGCAGGTGAGTAGCTGGAAGCATATGTCTGTGTGTTTCCCAGCCAGACAGCAAGGGGCCTTAGGGTTTCTTTGTTTTATGGTCCAACACCTGTGTCTCTTCTTGACCCTAAGTCCAGGTGATCCAGGTGGACCAGGTGTCTTTGCTGTAGGTGCCTGCTCGAGGAGCTCAGATGCTTTGTAGCTTGAGTCCTGAGGCCGAGGACACCTTCCAGAGGCCATGCTGTCTGGTCTTCAGGGAGGCATGAACATGAACCCTTAGGTCCTAGGCCAATGAGCACCTCCAGGGGAAGAAATGCAGCAAGCTCCCTCAATGACCTGGCCCAGGTCTGCCACCCTGATTGATTCTCAGGAAGTTCTTATGTCTAAATAATTGTCTTGTACCATAGCAGGGAAGATTTATGTTCATTGTAGAACAGAACAGAGCTTCCCTACAGCCAGGAAAACTCCACCCCCATCACCTCCAGCATTTTCTCCAGCCACCCAGATTGGGGAATGCTTCCTCATTAGCTGGGTGCTTACACAATGCCAGGCACTGCTCTAAGCACATTATATGTATCATTCTACTAAATCCTCCTAAGAACCATATGAAGAAAATATTTCTATTATCCCCTCACAGTATGAGGAAATATTGAAAAAAGGAACAAAGCCTTTCTGGCTTTGCAAATGCATTTTCAAAATAAGTCTCAAAGTTCCCCCTTTCAATTAGCTGCTTCTGTAAACCCTTCCTGTAACAGAATGGTGACACTGTCACTGCCAGAAGAGTTTTAAAAAATAATAGCCAGCGCTTTTTTCCCTTTTGGTTTTTTGAGTGCTTACATGCTGGGTGTCATTCCAAGATTTTACGTGATTGGCTCATTTATTCCTCAGGTCAATTGTATGAAGTTGGTCTTAATATTATTTTGTCCCCAATTTTATTTATAATTATTTGTTTTTAAACAAGACAAATCTGTATTATTTAGTAATTACTCTTTTTGTTTCTGTTTTGATTTCATATATTTCTTTTTCTAAAAAAGCATATGGTCCCCTATGCCATCCACCCACCTATATAGAAGTAATACAAATTTATTATAATGAACTTATGGAATACAAGATTATTTGTTCCCACTTTTTACATGAGGATGTGAGATCATAAGAATGCAGATCAACTTTAATTCATTGCTTCTTTTGCACACAAGGTCACACATTAATAAATGGCAGAGCTAGGAATGAAACCTTCACATTTGGGGCCCAGGGCTCCATTCCTAACTACCATGCCATATAGACTTTAAACCAGGTCTTTCTTTCTTTCTGGAAACGTTGACTGTGTTCCTGCTCATTCCTTTACAATTCTTTTTTTTTCTTTTTTTTCTTTTTTTTATTTATTTATGATAGTCACACACAGAGAGAGAGAGAGAGAGAGAGAGAGGCAGAGACACAGGCAGAGGGAGAAGCAGGCTCCATGCACCAGAAGCCCATGTGGGATTCGATCCCGGGTCTCCAGGATCGCGCCCTGGGCCAAAGGCAGGCGCCAAACCGCTGCGCCACCCAGGGATCCCCCTTTACAATTCTATACGGAGATAGAGAGTGAAGGAAGTATCCCTCAGTTAATTCTAGACTCCAGGGCTCATTCACTCCCAGGAGACTCAAGGTTTGATCTCCCAAGAACTACTATCCACATAAAAGTGTTAGGCCTGGATCTGCTGGGGAAGAAGGTAAGGTCCTGTATTTGTTCTGGGGGTCCTGGGCAGCTGGGCTTGCTGTTTGTTCTTGGTGGCTCAGATGTCATCTTACTGCAGATAACTGATCTAACTGTACCTTTCCTGATCCTGCTCTCCATGGGAGTGGGCGCTGGGGTGAGGTGATGCACTGAGCCCTGTCTTGAGCCTGTGAGAGGTTCTGGGAGGCAGAAAGGACATCTTCAAGAACTCATCTTGTCCCTAGAGGACACGTCATCCATGTGACAAATTTGAAGAGGCATGTGGTTCTGGGCACCTATTTCAAGGTAGATTCCTAGGAAGAGATGTTAATTTCCCCTGAAATGCCTCCCCTTGCGCTTGCCTGAAATCCCTCCTCAAAAAACCAACCAATCAGCCTATCCTTCCCTAGTCTTTAAGCTCCACTCCCCCAATGGAGCCTCCTGTGATTGACCCCTGGGACACCTCCCTCTGAATGACTAAGTTCCTGCTGGTCCACATTTTTGGCTCCTACGATGTGCTCTTCTGTGCTATGATTAACCTCTTTAATTCCCAGGACTTGGTTCCCCCACCTCTAACCCTAACCCAGGGCTTGACACCTGGCTGATTTGTAAAGGTTTGTTGACATGGCTGCTAATCTGATCACTTAGGTGATGCCTGATCAGCACGTGACTGGGCATCTGGGAGGGTGTGATCTCTAGTGGAGAAAGAAACCAAGAGCCATCAAATAAATACTGGACCAGCTTCCCTCCATTTTATGTTCTGATAGGAAACCCAAGCTTGTACATGAACATATATAAATTATAGTGCAGATTAAACTAATAAACATGGAGCAAATTATCCTCCAGTCACACATAACATTTCTCTCCTTAGTAACCTGCCCTGGAATAGTTTAGCAACACTTTGCACCTGGAAGTACTTCTGATCACCTAGCTTAAATCACTCCTGCTACTGTAGGCCATCTATCACTAGATCTAGCTTCTGGGGAAATGCATAGGTCTTCAGTGTAGAGGTGGCTACCTAGTCTCCCTGCACCCTTGAGGTTTCCTTCAACCCTATTTGGTCTCCAAGATCATCTGGTATAAAAAAAGTTAGGAGGGCATGTGGATAGACTCTGAACACTGTTTTTTGAAGAGACAGGGCCTGCTCATTTCTCATTATCAAACACCAGCAATCTCCATTATGTGCCAGACAGCTTGTGGCGATGCCTTTGCCTCCTCAGTCTGGACAAGACCCATACCTCACCATCCAGAGCTGAGCTGGCCATTTGACAGTCTTGTCTCATCATTAACAAAATGCTCACAGGGGCAAGCAGCAGCACCACCAACTTGCTGATTAATAGTGATCAGTGAATGTTTAGGAAACATGGTGAGGGATGGTTTTGGTTTTATTAGTCTGTAAATACAAACAAGAAGTGTTGAGTTTGAGGGATGGCATTGCTGGGGGCTGGAGAGCACAGTAAGAGGTGATTCTGGACACTTCTATTCTTCTATCCTGTGGCCAAGACCATGGTGTTGTTACAAGGCAATTCTGAGAGGAATGGAGTCTTGAATAGGAGAGGAAAGGACAGATATGTGCTTACTGAGGCTTCTGCTCAGAGGGGAGGAGGCCAGATCCATGACCTCCCAAATCCCAGCTGTGAATTCCAGGTGTCTTTGATAGTTTGTCCCTGGGCTTGGTTCCTCAGCAGCCAGAAGAATCCCTGCCAGTGGGGCCATGTTCCCAGCCCCCCAGTCCTGGCCACCCATCTCACAACCAGCTAGCTCTCTTCTTGACAATCTTGCTGCAGGTTCTTTTGAAATAGATTCTTCAGGGCCTCATTTCCCAGCAATTAGTCAATGTGCTGTCATGTGTTTAATAGGTAGGGAAGCTGGGAGACAAAGGCATCCACAGCTGGGGGCTGGGAATTGTTTTCAACAAAGAGTGACATATTCTTGTCTGAAATGTCTGGAGACTTATTTGGCTTTTCTCTACTAGGGATGCTTAAAGTAGGGAGGGAGGAAGGGGAGAGAGCTTCTCTTTTGGTGAGGAGCTGGGGAAGCCTTGCTAAGTCACAACTCTTCTCCCAGAACTTATACCTTTGGACCTAACTCCTGTGGTCTGGAGCCTTAGAGGAAAGAAGGGGTCAAAGAAATAACAGAAGGCATTGAATTAAAAACGGGCATCGGGAGCTCCCCTTTAGCAACAACAGAATCTGCGGAGGCACCGGGCCAATCTAATTTCATCAAGACAGGCAGTAAAGACTTCCAACTATGGCTATGGCTGACATATCTCCAAAAACTTTGCCACTATTTTGCCTCCATTCCTCAGTTATTTGCTCACCTTCAACTGTTTTCTTGCATGGATGAAAATAGTGACAGTTGTCACAAAGAGCCAGAGCTAACATTTTTTGTAACACTTACTACATTTATTTAATCATCACTGGAACTCTACGAAGTAGGTACTATTATCAGTCCATTTTCCAGAAGGTGAAATAGACAGACAGAGGCTAAATGATACTCTGGGTTAAAGACCTCAAAAGTATGGGAGCTGTGATTTGGAAAATACAGGTGGATCAATTTCTAAAACTGATAACAATAGCAAACCAGCAACCCTCTGTGTTGATTTTCTCAAGCAATAAAATGATATCTGGAACAGCCATCATAATTGGAATCACCACCTGATTGTGTTTATGATAATCTATGGTCATTCTCCAAGATCCATCTCCGTCTTCTCACAGGCAAACAGGCCACTTGAATGGGGACGTGGGTGTCCTGGAATTAGTGTCAGTTCAGAATGAGTGTCCAACAATCCTCAAAAATGTGTTTATTTTCTTTTCTCCCATATAGTCACACAGTAATGTGGTAATGGCTGCAGGTCCTCTTGGTGAAGACTAAAAGAAAAATGAACAATCCATTTTTGGCAATGTAACAGGGTTTTCTTTACAGAACATGGCTTTTCCTTCATCAAGGGGTCTGGCTCTGTTAAACTGGCTCACATCTAGGAATCAACTGAGCAGCGTGACTCTCGATTTGGTGATTCAACTTCAGTATACTTATAATTTTTCTGTGTAAACAGATCAAGTAAGAATTCAGTATGCTTCCCAGCTATTTCTTTTCTAGAGACTCTACGATCTCTTTTCTAGAGACCTATGGCCGACACCAAGTCTGCAAGTCAGACT